GGATTTGTTAACCAGAGAAGCCATGATGCATTGCTGGTCATGTGATATTTACAGGCTACAGGGACTCGTGGACGGTACGGAATATTGCCGAGGAAAATAATAGGGTTCATGCTGCATTCATCACCACAAATTTCCAGGACTTTTCATGTGTACTTTTTAAGGCATAGAAAGTCAATCTTCGAGGAGTATTTTTATTATCTCGTTTGATGTTTCTGGTGATTTTTAAGAACGCTCTTGTTCGAATTAAAAAGTTAAAAACAGCTTAGATTGTCATCAGATCAGTATCCCAGGATAAGCGATTTTCCTATTTTCAAGTATTTCACACATTAAAACTTCGGCGTTATATAAAAAAAACATTCAACAGAGGCCCTTCGGAAGTTACCCTAAATATAATAAAGACGTCATATTCAAGTTCAAACAAAATAATTTTGAATTTTGAATACTTTTGATAAGTGTGATATTACCATAACAAAATGACGATTTTCACTTTGCCATGCAACAAGATTTCCCAAAGAGAGTTTTTTACTCAAAAAAAAAACATTAAAACAAGTAATACATAAGAAAAAACCTTGACATATTAATTGTTTCTGACATTACAATGATTACTGAAGTCTCACCGTGAAGAATTAAGTACAACAAAGCCTCGTTGGATCTGCTGTTGAAAAGTGCTACAGCGAAACTACATCGGTCGACTATTCCCAAGAAAATTAGATAAGGGTTGAAATCCTTTGTAAAAACGCCAAAGAARCATAACAAAATAAGGCAATTAACTCAAAGCATTCTCAAAACAGAGACTCTTTTACACATCGCGGAGCCAGGGTCAATGTGCATTAAATTCAGTCCATATTTTTTGATTTTAGATCCGTTTATTATTATTACTACTATTACGTCTGTTATTTGTTAATTTGATGTAATTCTTTTATCCAAAGTCGAAKTCAATTAAGTATTATTATTATTACTAAAGCTAACACAATGACATTACTGTAATTATACCTACCAWTWGTAGYTTKGTCATGATAAATTATGTATGTCTTGGATAAAACACCTGACTCTTGTACATCTTTTATCAAGAGACCAAGAAACTACTGTAAGTAAACCTCATTTTTACTGAATCCTTCCTKCACTTCTCTCCCTTATTTTTCATATCAATGSTGAAAAGGAKTACATCGAACAGGCTATGAAAAGTTACTTTTTTAGATGTATAATCCTTAATTTCCCTATATCATTCAACCGTTCAAGTCGTAATAGCTATTAGATTCAAAACACTATCACTTTCATCTGCTCTGGGTAGCATTAAATTAACAGTTTATAGAAAGAAAAACTATCTTCTACATAACACCTTCCTACATTGAGTAGCAACTTCTTTCGAATCATGTTATGTGAACCAACTCGTTCGAGTTAAATTCAAAGAGTTATTCTTGTTTAGAGATATTGTTTTCTAAAAAAAATGTGAATCCAATCATCCTTTAAAAGTTGAAAATAAATCGGAAGCAACATCACGATTGAATGGGGGATTGCTGATTTCCTTAAATTTCCATTTTTTTTTCGGGGGAGGGGGAGGGGGAGGGGGGGTGGTTCAATTCTTGAGAGAAGTTATCATCAACTATGGCATGTTTTCTGTTCGTTCTCTGTCCGTTCCAACACTGCACTAGTTACTAGCTACACTATTAGTATGAGGTCTCCTTTTTACGAACACAACGAGCACAAAACTATTACTCTTTCTCGTGCAGTATGTCAACACAAAAGTCAAAGTGCGACTTCTCGGTATTTCAGTCGGTGGATGATAATAGAATTGATTTTCATTCAAAGATATTAACTATTATGAAGAAGACAACTCACATTGTTGGATGGTTTTCTTTTGGCATGTTCCTGGCCAACGCCCTGCAAGCCTCATGCAAGACATGTAAAGTGAATGTCCAGAAAAGGTTTGTCCTTCAAGGTAACCTCCTAGCGTCAATTCTTGTCACCAGTCAAGCGCATTGCGAGATG